ATCCATGTATAGAGTTACTTATTTTCAAATTGATTACTTTCTTCCTTTCTTTGGACGATTCCCTCATCCTTTTTTTTGTATCAAGATGGAGTAGTAGAAAGCCAAAAACTTCTTTCCCAAAAATATATACAACTGTTCATTGAAGAAAGTAAAAAAGGCAGCTTATGATCGATTTATTACTTCAGCTGAAAACAAATCGAAAGCATGCTGGCGGATAATAAACTTTGAAAGAAACAAATATCTCCATGTCAAATCGGTTCCTGATCTCACGCCTGACGATTTTAATGATTTTTTTGTCAATATTGCTGTTGATATACTGAAGTCCTTACCAATTGTATCGCCCAGTGAACTTCTAAATTTCAATAATTTTCCAGCTCCTTGCGAGTCATTTCACTTGTCACCGGTAACACCTCAAGAAGTAACGGATGCCATAAAATATCTGAAGCAAACAAAAAGCCTCGATATTCATGAACTCAACTCCCAAATAATAGTGACATTATTGTAATGACATTATTCTAGTTCCACTCACTGATCTGATAAACTCGATCTTCATATCAGGAATATTTCCAGATTGCTTCAAAATCATCCAAAATAACACCTTCATTCAAAAAAGGCGATAGAAATAATATCAACAACTACCTTCCTATTTCCATTATCTCAGTTTTTGTGAAATTAATAGACAAATTCTGAATAAACGATTGAGGTATTATTTTGAGTCAAATAATTTTTTTACCAACACCCAATATGATTTTCTACCAAATCGCTATACTGCTCTCGCTGTCATAAATTTCGTGAAAAACATAATATCTACATTGGAAGATGGGATACAAGCGGCCATCACCTTGTGTGACCTTTCCAAGGCATTTGATTGCGTGTCACATGATATATTGCTTGAAACATTACTATTACACTCAATCTGATACAATCCTATTTGAAAAACCGCCTTCAAGCAGTAAGTATTAGAAATTCCTTATCTGATTTCAAACACAATGAACTGGTGTTCCTCAAGGTCCTAATATTGACCCTCAAGGGTCAATATTAGGACCGTTATTGTTTATAGTATACACCAACGACTTGAGTATCTATATGGTTCCGGTGAAAACTTTCGTTTGCAGGTGATACGACGTTCATATATTCTGGCATAATTTCATACGCTACTATTTTTTGGGGTGGTTCATCGGATTCTCTCTCAATTTTCCGTTTACAGAAAAAAAGCTATCAGGATCTTGTCCTGTGTCAGCTATCTGGAACACTGCCAACCTCTCTTTATTAGGCACAGAATAATGCCGTTACCGTGTTTGTACATTTTCCAAGTTCTAACAGAGATTCATAAAGACTCCTCGATGTTCACCAAGCAATTGGACATACATAGCTATGCTACCAGACGAGCAGATAACCTGAGATCAAACAGGTTCCGCCTAACCAAATCTAAGAAAAATTCACTAAATTATTATCTCTACAATATATTACCATCGAAATTGAAATCATTAGGTATACATTTATTCAAAATAAAGATAAAAAACTTACTTTTGATGCATTTTTTTTTATTCCACAGAGGAATACATTGAACATTTCAGACTTTGTAGGGAATAAAATTCGTCTCGCCCAATTTTCCAATTTTATGTTACTTTCTATGTTTTAAACTATCGTTTCTTGTTTTAATATAATTTTCAAAAATTACATTATATTAGACTATAAGTTATATTTTAACAATTATTATTCTACGGTATTGTGTTTTTTTTCTTATTATGACATGCTACAAACAAACATGTATTGTAATGTAGTCAAATAAATATATTCTAATTTTATTCAAATATCGAGAATATGCTCATTTCGTGGAATCATAATAGGCTGGGTTTGAGTCTGTCAGTTGGGCTGAGTATTGCGAAAAGTGCGGACCATGAAGAAAGTAGAGTTTCCACATTTTAATGGCACTCGTTATTATGAAAATGATCGCTGTTTAACTAGTTGCTTCAGATACAGCTCACTTAACACCAGCATGATGTCGATTATCAAAGATTATTTTTATCTGCATAAACATCATATGGGATTAAATTTAGTGTCTTGTTCATGACTTGATCATTAACCGTCGTTCTGTGAATATCATTATAATAATGTAAGTAAATATTTTGATATGAAGCTCCAGATATTTTCTTATTCACATCACGTCTGTTTTTATTTCATTAAATTCCTGAAATTGTCCAGCCTTAGTTATATATAGTTCGATAACAAATAATTCATATATTTGTTTATATTAGTTGAGAAAAAAATGCAATTACCACTGTGTTATTTCATTCATCGAGGAGTGGTTGGAGTAAGGTCGAATAACTGAATTTACCCAGTGCAATGAAAGTATCTCCAAACCCTGAAATATAATAAATAAAGTTTGAGTATTGGTGTTGTGAAATGTATCCAAATAATCTCCCACATATCCAAACTATATTTATTTTCCTGATGGCGCCAGCTTGATTGGTGAAACGTGATTCTAATAAAAAGTCATCTTTCAAGGATGGGAAACTCTCAAATACTTTTTGAAGGTACCTGAAACTCAATACAATTTTCTTTTAAGCTATCAGATATTACATGTGAGAGTGGTTATTGGTATCTCCGAGAACATATTCGATATACTCTCCATGATAATAATTAAACAATTCACACAATAGTATTGTTACATTTTCCCCCGTGAGTTTACCAATAATTGGCTACACTCAACAATAATCAAACTTAACTTTATTTCACTTAAAATGCAACAAACACTTCAACTAAAACTTCAAGTATTACTCGAATGTCTATCGTCTTACTAGATCGCTTCGCGTACCGCACTGTAACTTCCACTTGACAGTCTTGATGGGCGAGTGGATGGCGCTTATATTTAGCAATCGAAGACGCCGGAACATTCCTCGGAATTCCATCGAAGCTGGTAGTATTATTCTCGCTACATCGCGCGCTCTCAGCTACGTCACAGTTGGTTTATAGCTACCAGTGGCGGCCGGCGTTATCTTCTTTAGGGTATGATTTACAACATTACCCTTTCCCTGAGTTTGTTTGCCCGGAACAACATTCCAAGAGGAGACATCACGACCCGTGTAAGAACTCTCTATGTGAACAACTTCAGGCTTGCTTCTGGGTGACTAATGGATTCTGTACACCAGATCGTTTATCTTGTTGGTTACCAAATAAGGGCCTTGTTCTTCATCCTGTCCCTGGATAACTGTAATTTGGATCTGGCAAATTTTTGTACTATTTTCAGTCTCTCCTTCAGGTCAGGTACCTCCTGAGAATATCAGATGGGCTGCCACACAATACATCTATCGGAAGATTCAGTTCTCAGCCAGTTAGCAACATGGATGGTGTGTAACCTGTCGCGTCGTGTTGGGAGCTCCTGTATGCCAACAGAAAGAGAGGAACCTATTTATCCCAGTTTCTTTGGTTTTCGGAGACAAACATCGAGAGGTAGTTATTGATGGTGCGATTATGCCTCTCGGCCATTCCATCGGACTGTGGGTGAAGATCTGTTGTTCTTGTCTTCTTCCCAGTTCCAAGGGACTTACTGAAATAGCTGATGACGAATTCTACTTCCTCTTGTACCTGGGAAAGTACTGCTACTATTCCATGTTGGGATACATTCGTGTCCAGTATAAACAAGCCCTCTTCCTTTGGGTATACCAGGATCGGGGCGTTGGTCAAATTCTTTTGCAGGGCAACAAATGCTTGCTGGCAGTCTGGGAACCAAACGTCAAGCTATGCAGCGGTCTGGCAATTTTCCCAAAGTCCTTCACAAAATGCCGATAGTAGCTACATAGTCCAAAGAAGCTTCTTACGTCGTGCTCGTTCTTTGGTGTTGGCCATTTTTGTACTGTCTTCATTTTCTCTGTATCTGTCTCAACTCCCTTTGACGACACGTGTCCCAAGAACTCACCTTTTCCTGGAAGAGACAGCACTTCTTGGGGATGATCTGCATTCCGCAGCCTCGTGAAAACACTCCTCAAGTTTGACTGATGTTCGTCAACACTTTTTCCGGTAACTATAATGTCATCAAGATAGACAGATAGACCAGGTATGTTTTCTAGGTAAGTCCTCTCAAGACCAACACCATCCATTATTCAAATGTTGCGGGTGCATTGCATAATCCTAATGGCATAAAATTAAACTGGTATAATCCATTGCCGGTGGAAACGGCAGTCTTCTCTTTATCTTCGGGGCGAACAGCCACCTGCCAATGTCCGCTTTTCAGATTTAATATTGAGAACCATCTGCATTCATCCAAGATGTTCGGGGTGTCATCTATTCTGGGGGGAAGGTAACTATCCTTTCTGATGACATCATTAAGCCTCCTGTAGTCTACACAAAATCTCGTCGATCCAACTTTCTTAGTCACTAACACAACAGTTGACGACCTGGGGCTCTTTGATTCCTCGATTACTCTTTCCTCGAACATGTCCTTAACAATGGATGCTTCTTCGTTTTGTTTTGTTTTTACAAATTCAATGATAACGTTCGATGTTGATTGCTGCCAAACAAATACGCCTTCAAACTTGAAACATACGCTTTATAGATTGTTTCAGGCCAGGCCATGTACTTCTGAGGCCTTCCTAGTAATTAAACTCTAACACTCTCTCGAAGAATACTTTTTTAAATCCCGAGTTTCAAATATTGTTTCCTTTTCACCATCTGTTACATTATTTTATGGAATATGTGCATTACATTATTATTATTATTATGATACACATACGTTTCCCCCAAAGCCCCGATACATTCGGAGGGTGCGCCAGCATTATCAACCAACGACCACTTCCCACACCGTGGGGTAAGTGATCATTTGGTCCGAGTATCATGTGCCCTGAACAAGCACAGTGAGCCATTATTATTAAATTGACATTGCTTGTTTCTAGGGTGAATTCCAATTTCGAAAAATGTTTCAGATTCTTGCCCATACTTTTCAGCATATCATTTCATAGATTCCCGAACACTCTCAAATGTTTGAATTATTTCACTTTCAGGGGGACTTCCGAGAGCGTGGTCTTCACCTTGTCTTGGGCCCTGTGTCAGATCTTGCCTGAAGCCGCCTCTTCTACAACAAGCCGCTTTCGACGATCTCGTTTTTAAGGTAGATGTGATGCGTAACGTTGCTTCCAAGCACATGCAGAGCGAAGCTGAAGATCAAAAAATATTGGATTCACACAGGTGGGGCAGCTTGCCGGCTCTTAATCTTGTGGAAAAAGAAGGAATGAGGAGTAACGAAGACGGAGAGGAAGAACAGAATGGTGAAGATGAAGGTTTGCAAGAGGTTAGTGGGATATTGTTTATCTAGGTCAGTCACTAACGTTTTGAAGACCCATAATATACTTGCCATTTCTTGGAATTAATCGAAAGACTCCGCATAAGGATTTCGCAAAACATTTAAATGTTCAGAAAAGACAATTTTTTGTATTTCTTCGTTTCTATTAGTATAAAAAGAATGAAGAAAAGGTAGGAGAAGCAAAAAAAAATTCTTCAGAAAAATTGTGTAGATCTCGATGTTTCCTTCAGTTACAGTTATCAGAATATATGTGAATCGCATGATGGATTTTCATATTACTATTTATTAAGTTATTTCAAAAGTTTTGTCCGTTTTAATGTCATGTATTTTCGTAGCTAAATTCGCATGATGGATTTTCATATTGCTATTTATTAAGTTATTTCAAAAGTTTTGTCCGTTTTAATGTCATGTATTTTCGTAGCTAAATATCTCGATAAATAGTTATTCTACTGTGTCGTATACAGTGTGTTTCACGTCTCATGGAAACACGCCCGTATCTTCCGTAATAATCGAGGTAGAATGATCAAACTCTCAGGACTGATGGAAATGCTTAAAATGCACCTACCACCCAAATGAGGTTGGCTAAAGTGATATACATTGCCCGCCACTCGCGATGGAACTACCCATTTTTATGGTAAAACATGCTTGGGGGCAAAATAGGCTCAAAATTCCTTCAGATTCGTGATCAGGACTTCCAAAATACACTTTTTCCCTTAAAAAATTTCGGTCCTGAAAAATCCGAATTTGTGTCACTTCTTATGGAAACACTCCCGTATCTTACGTAATAATTGAGGTAGAATTGCCCTTGATATTTCTAAGGTCTTTGACCGTGTGTGGCATGAGGGTTTGCTGACCAAACTTCGACGCTATAGCTTGTCCGATCATTTCTGTGTATGGCTCTACAACTTCCTGAAAAAACGTTTCCTGCAAGTTGTCATCGATGGATATCTCTCGAATACTTTCACCAACAACGCTGGTGTTCCCCAGAGATCTATATTATCTCCAACCCTCTTTTTATTGTATATCAACGACTTATTGGAAAAAAACAAGAATTTAATATATTGCTTTGCTGACGACAGCACACTTGTCTTGTCATTCCATTTGGTTCCCAAGATATCGACTACGGAGGCGCAGCTTCAATGAGGATCTAGAAGTGATTTCGAATTGGGGTGGAAGTAACCAGGTTCAATTCAATGCCACAAAAACCCAGACATCGGTTTTCTCCAAGAAGATAAATGTCTTCGAACCGGATATAATAATGTCAGGTCAGACAATTTCTGCTTCGATAAGTTTGTTGGGGGTTAAAATGGACACCAATATATCTTGGCACAATCATGTCGCTGGAATTGCAAATGCTGCTTCCGAAAAGCTTGGAATACTGTTCCGAACCAGAAAACTGTACACACCTCAGCAACTTTTGATGCTTTATAGAGCTCAGATCCGACCTTCTATGGAGTATTGTTCTCATGTATGGAGCTCTGCCCCTAAACATACCCTGAATTTGCTGGATTCCATACAGAAAAGAGCCATCCGCCTGATTGGAGACGCGAACATCACATGCAACCTTGATAGCCTGGAACATCGAGGAAAGGTTGCAGATTTGTCTCTTTTCTATATATACTTACGCGGGAAGTGTTCAAGTGACTTGGCACATTTGATTCCACATATCGGAAATTCACGACGGACGATGGCTGCTTATCTTTTTGAGGTTCAACTCTGTATACCTCGAACTTCATTGTTTAAAAACTTTCATCTGTAGAACTGCGTTCATCTGGAATAAATTTCCTGGAAAGGTTTTTCCAAATGGATTTAATCTCCAGCGATTCAAATCCAATGTGAATCGCTACTTTCGTACAGGCATCGCTCAAGGATTTTCCTGTAGTGCTTGTGTTTTGTCCTTAAAATATAAAAATGATGAAACTCCCAGTTCTGATGTCAAAAGCCAAAAAAAATCTACTTCAATAATTACGGAAGATACGGGGGTGTTTCATGAGAAGTGGGACGATTCGGATTTTTTCAGGAGAAAAGTGAATTCGAAGGAATTTTGAGCCTATATATTCTGCCCATAGTATGTTTTACAGTAAAAATGGGTTGTTACATCGCGAGTGGCGGGCAGTGTATATCACTTTAGCCAACCTCATTTGGGTGATAGGTGCATTTTCAGCATTTCCATCAGTCCTGAGAGTTTCATTATTGTACCTCAATTATTACGAAGTATTATCGAAGTAATGCGAGAGCGGTTTCCGATATGTATTGCTGAGCAACGGGAGAGAGATTTTAAACTTAGTGCTGTAAGATGTCGTTGAGCGATTTCCTGCCAATTTTTCTCTAGGAATTCAAATTGAACCGAAGCGTTGTCGAAACATCCCAAAAAGTCGTTCGACGGTGGTTTACAAAATTTCGTTTATGAGATTTCAGCCTCGAAGATGAGCCCCGAAGTGGTCTACCCACAGTGATCCAGGACGAGGATTTGAGGACTCTGGTGGGGACTGACCCATCACAATCGGTGCGTGGGATGACGGAAGAACTGGGCGTCAGCTCCCATACGGTTTTTGGTGGCTTGAAACGTATTGGAAAGGTCAAACAGCTCGGCAAGTGGGTGCCCCACGATTTCAACGATTGACAGAAATTGTCGCGTTTCGAGCTCTGTTCGTGTTTGCTTTTACCCAACCAAACGATCTTTTTTTGGATCGGATAGTCACTTGTTATGAAAAGTGGATTCTCTACGGCAACACGAGACGTTCAGGAAAGTGGCCGGACACTGATGAGCCACATAGGCACTTCCCAAAGGCGAAAACCCACCATAAAAATAAATCGAACAAGGAGTTCAAAAATGAATTTTTATTCGAGAAAAATCCATATACTTAGGCGAATAATTTTTTCCTCAAAAATATCGAAGTCATTCCCATACCCCCACCACTATTGGAGTTGAAATCCATTTTTGTGTTGAAAAATATAAACTTTCAACTGTTATTGCTTACCAAATATCGAGAAAATATCTCAAATGGTTTTGGAAAAATTGAATAATTTTTTTCGGAATATTTTTGGACTATTTGTAGTTTATATAGCAACCTATTATATTTTCAATGTTGATTTACACCCTTGAATATTCGCATATCATTAAGGAACACACTGTGTTTAGAAAGGACATATCTCCATAAAATAACATATTTTTCGAGTGAAGAAATATGTTCATTTTATTGTCTGATCAATTGCATTTAGTTATTAGTTTAATGATACTGAATTATTGGTAATACCATATCTTAATTCCTTGTTTTTCACGATGTGGTTAGCATGACGGACATTTTTCTTGAACTCAGTGTTATTCATTTTTGAGCATGTAATGTATCAAAGGTTGGTTATTTTATGTAAAATATTGGTTTTATCACTTTGAGATATTAAGTGAGTAAACATTGGCTGTTTATAATATGGAAATTCAAACTCAATACCAATTCAAAACGAATTTCTTCACTTTTTGATTTATATCATAAACACTTGATAACATCTATATCTGTATTTATATCCTGGACTTCAGAGCTTTGTCAAATTCAATTTGGGACCTTTCATATTGGTCCCATACAACTGACTCCCTTGTACTTTCAAAGGTTTTTTTGGTTGTCTCATGCGTGCTAGACCTTCATTCTACCAGAGAATAATCATATTTGGTATATGGCTTGAATATGGCATATATGGCATTGAATGTAGAGAGAATAGTTTATTGTCTACGTGATACAGTTCAACAAATATTTGTAGCAAGTCGAAACAAAAACTGAGTATTTCATACTTCCTGTATTTTCGTTAATGGGTTGACTAGAACGAAGTACAACATTGTTTCAGCTGGTTTTTCATACTTATGCATCCTGTTATATTTTAGGTTGCTGGTAAACTGGAAATAAGAGTAGTGCCAAAAGAGCAAATAAACAAAGAAAACGTTCCAAGACCACAAACTATTTCACCTCCGAAAGCCTTGATGCAAAATGGTCATTCTGAAGCCACCATTACAGAAAAAAAAGTAGTTGAAGTGCAAACAAAAGAGTCCCCTCAAAGACCAAAAATGGAACGAACGAAAAGCATTTTGAAACAAAGCAGCAAAGAAAAAAGTGATCCCATAGAATTGGCCAGTCCAAAACGTGAAAGCATACATTTTGTGATAGAATCAATAGAGGGTGTTGATAGAGGAATAAACCAAGCGCAAGAAGTGGGAGATATTGAGAAAAAGACGAATGAAATTGATCAGGGAACCCAATGTAATATTCAGTGTTCAAAAAAAAGCATAGGAACAGAAAGTCGGAGTGTTATTGAAATGAATTCTGCAGAGTTGATCAAAACTAGTGATAAGCAAATTGGTAAGTTTCACTCAAAAATTCTTTAAATAATGGTCATCAATCAAAGTTTTCATCTAAGCAGTTGTAAATAAACTGAAAATCTGTATATCCCGCCGAACTTAAGATTTTTATAGTTAGAAATAAAGAAATTCAATTTCACTAGTTCGGACTTCCATTGTCTACTATATAAAATGATTTGAAATCCCTGAAACAACTAAAAAAAAAGAATTGAAAATGAATAGCTGAAAATAACAATTATATTAACCAAAATAAACCTGAAATGAAATAATAGTGAAATAAAATACAAGTAAATAAGATATCATTGGTTTTTAAGTAGAATATTATATCACTGTTGCAATAATGAATTTGATGGTCTCAACTTCAGATTCATTTCAAATTAAATTAATATTGAAGTTGAAGCTTATTATGATAATCATCGTAGGTATTTTGAATAACATAAAAACACTGTGTGTTTCATGAGTCATACAGCTGATATTCAATTTTTTCTTCTAGGTACAGATTCTGTTGACAAAAAAAAGGTGGAAACTGAATCAAGTAGTACGGAAACTGACCAAAAGTTATCCAGAGGTAGATCACAGCAGGATAGCTTAGAGAGGAATAGAAAAAAGATGAATCGAAAAACCAGTTTAAATTTCGAACCAGTTGAATCGTTGAGCAGGAGCAATTCTCAAAAGGTCCTTTGCAAACCTTTAGAGGCTGTGAAAAATAATTTGGTCGATTCAAAATCGGACAGCAGTTCTAGCATGAACTGTAAAGTTAATGACAAGAAGGACGAAGAAAAGGGCAGTATGGATAGGTGTGTTCTGAATGTGGATAAGGCGGTGATCAAGGAGAGGGCGCGTTGTTCACCGTCAGTTGATTTGAGCACCAATCCAAATGTGACGTTTGTGTCAGCTACTAGCATTCCAGATTTAAAGTGAGTACAAACATTCAAAGTTACTTTCAGAGGTATCTATACTTATAAATGCGAAAGTCACTCACCTAACGCTCACTCATTCATCTCTGTTTCTCCGTAGTGGTAAGTTCCAGGAAGCTAAAATTTTATATATAGGTGCTTCTTAGGTCTTAGATGCGCACTAAGGATTTTCGAATATTCCAACTGGGGCGCTCCCCGTAGGAGTAAAATGGGGAGCGTTTACATATGAAAATAACCACCGTTTCTCCGTACCGCTATACAGGGTGTAACTGAATAAGTGTAAAACATTCAAGTAGGTGATACCTCATCGAAAAAAAGATACGATCTTTCATATAAAGAAACTTCATTGAAGCATCCCTTGTTAAGATACAGCCCTTTAAAGGGGGTACATAAAATTTGTATAACAATTTTTTTCACAAGCACTGAAAAAGTTACAATATTGAAATTAAC